ACACACACACACACACAAATACACACACATCCCATACACAAAAACACACACACACACAAACACACACACACACACATACCATACAAAAACACACACACGCGCATACACACGCACAGAAACACACACAAACAAACACACACACAAACATACACACACCTTTTAAGTGTTGTGGGCCTACTTTTAGTAATTTGGGCTTGCATTTTCAATGTTTGAATTTCTAACTAGCAAATTTTGACTTATAGTTTCAGATTTGTATTTTCTGACCAGTAAATTCTGTCGTCTTCAGGCCAAGGACGAGACGGTCCGGTCCCTTTCTCTTCTCGCCTTCCGAAACATTGTAGTGCTCAAAGTCAGTATTAAAGGTGGGTAACTGAGTGTTAAAGATGTTATGTATTGAAGTTGTGCACGTGTGTGTTCAACGTCTTTTCTTTTGTTGTTGTTGTTGTTTTTTTGTTGTTGTTTTTTGTTAAGTGTTTTATGCCGTCGCAACTGCATAAGGTCATATTATGAGCGCGCAGGATACACTAAAGATGTTCAATTGGTAGGAAATTTTGAATTTTGCGCTTGTGATGGCCGAAGCCTACTCTTATCGATTTTAGACCACCAAGGCATCTTTAAAATTAATGTGCAACTTGCCCACGAGACCTCCGAGATTCCCCCCCCCCCCTTATCTGAAATGGCTAGATGTTAGATCTTACATATCATAAGATCAGGGGCGTAGCTGAAAGACAGCAATAAGAAGGAGCCAAAGAGTATCAGTAGAAAGACCACAGAAAGAGTCAGGAGCCCAGAGGAGGGGGCAAAAGAGGTGAGGGGGTGGGGGCAGAAAATGGAGCGAGACGAAAGCAGACGACAGAACATAATCAGACAGCAGGAAAAGATGTGAACGTGGAAAATTTTAGAGAAGAAAATATTTCGTCGCTATCCGGATTTGAACCTAGGATCTGTTGAATGAGAGAAACACACACATAGAGAGAGAGAGAGAGAGAGAGAGAGAGAGAGAGAGAGAGAGAGAGAGAGA